GATCCTTACCTGAAACAAAATTCTCATAGATTATGCATATTTTCATGCACATATTCATCATTCAGCAGAATCAGCACAGTATCATTGCGAAACAAGGATAAAGCTTATGCAAAATGAGAACTCAAACCGTGAATCATGTCAGACACTAACCAGCATAACAAAGAAATGAAAGATTTTTAAGCCTCTGTGGTGGACAACCCCATTTTAATTTACATGAAGCAAAGCCTCCAATTTTGCATTAGAGGTGTGCCTCAGTGTGCCTTCTCAGAGGAGTGACAGAGCTAAGCCTTTAGGGCTTCATTTGAAAGCATCCTTCTTGAACCTCACCAATAAATGAAAAACTCAATCATCTTCTAAACTTTGGTAAAGAAATGCAACCTTTGCTAATGAGTAATTTCCACAGACTTCTCCTATGATTTGCCATAATTACAAGCAGCCACATTTTCTATTCCAGAAATTAAGCAGACCTCCTTTTTCTTTTAAAAATATTTTACACGGACCTCTTTTATGCGTAACGGACCAAAATACACCAACGGAGCTATCAAAATTACTGAAATACCCTCTCATTGACATCTGAAATTACTAAACTACCCCATAATTTATTGAGTAGGCATGACATCAGCTTTTTTATACATTATTGCCTCTCTCTCTCTCTCTCTCTCCCTATCTTCACTTTCTCTCTCTTGGCAGCCATGGACTCAGAATCTAGCAAACTGGAGATGTATTAGTTGGTGATTAGTAAAAAAAATAAAAAATTGGTTGCTTAGAACTTTCTTAAAATTCAAGAAAATTAAATCAAATGCTTGTGACTCTCTCACTGCTCATCTTCGCGGCCGGAGTTCCGTGACGAGTCATCAGGGAATTATGCTTTCTTTCCATTGGCGAAGCAGATTGGAGTGTTTTGAGCGAATTGGAAGAGCTCCTGATGATATATAACTCGTTTTCCAGTCAAATACCGGAGAGTTTGAGCGAATGTCAGAGTTTAACACGTGTCCAGTTGGGGAACAACCACTTTTCCGGCGAAGTTCCGACGCGATTTTGGGGGCTTCCACACGTGTTCTTGTTAGAGCTGGTCAACAATTCGTTTTCCGGCGGAATTGGGAAAACCATTGCCAGTGCGACTAATTTGTCGTCTCAAATTATTTCCAAAAACAGTTGCAGCAGTGAAATTCCAGAGGAAATTGGGTGGTTGGAGAATTTGGTGGAATTTTCTCGGAGTGACAACCGGCTAACTGGGTCGTTACCAGCTAGTATCATGAATCTTGGACAGTTGGGAAAGCTTGATCTTTCAACTTAATCTTTCACAATTTAGCCCAGAAACCATTAACCATTTCACAACCTTCTAATCTTCTCTCATACCCCTAAGACCCACTAGCTCTTTCCAACCACTCCAGTGCCACTCAATATGCAGATTTCACGACAAACCTTCCATCATGTAAAAAATGCCACACTCTAGGCTTTTAAACTTCGCCATGGAGTACTATTATGAACAACAACTAAGAAGCAAGCTATAGTTGCACAATTATTTGCAGAAGTTATAAGTTACAGCAATTGGTTTTGCATACCAAGGAAAATGACTACAAAGGGTACTCAAAGATGTTGAGAGCAAACAAACCAGCCTACAGGGATACATTCTCAGATATAGTAATTACAGAAAACCAGGAACAGTGGATGAGGCACTCGCCTAAGGCCTCACCAATAAAAAGCCCCTCTCACTATATAATTTCTTTGTTACTTAATATAAATTTTTTTAAATTCTTCAAATGTTGCTCATAAATAGACATATTGGAAAAGTACATTCAACAATGTGAGAGAATAAAAATCACACTAAGACCATACTCTCAACTTATCTTCTCTTGTAGATAAACTTCTTAATCTGATTGCCGCAATGCTTCGATAAATGCATCCTGGTGAGCTTCCAATTGAACTTCATTCTTGGAAGAAGCTCAGTGAGCTAAATCTTGCAGACAACGATTTTTCCGGGAATAATCCCGAGGAAATTGGAAGCTTGTCTGTGCTTAATTATCTTGATCTTTCCGGGAATAGATTTTCCGGGAAAATCCCATTCAGTTTGCAGAACTTGAAGGTAAATCAACTGAATTTGTCAAATAATCGCCTTTCGGGCGATATTCCTCCTTTGTTTGCTAAGGAGATGTATAAAAATAGCTTCTTCGGAATCCGGGCTTGTGCGGTGACATAACTGGTTTGTGTGATAGCAAAGGATATGTGTATTATATATATACATATCAATTTCCATCCTTAATTGGCGTTGACAGGAAGGTTCGTGTAGGATATTTTTAAAAATAAGAAAGATCTCAATAATTTTTGAAACGGGAAGAGTGCTGCCTATAATTATGACAAACTATAAAGGACGTCGGTGTAAATTACCCTTCGCTAATTTAATATCTAGAACACCTTTCCTTCACATTAATGTAATGCTGCTGATACATGGTATTATATCCGAAAAAAACTTATTTCTCTACCAAAAGAAGACAGCTTCTTCATTTTTGTTGTTTAGAAAATCAAATGAACGTATGATCATATATAACTTATGAAGTGTAACCTTCAAACTCTATATTCTTTAGCATTAATTCAACCATTCAACTCATAGAAGTTGATGAACAGACGATCGATCATCCTAAAAATCAAAATGATATTTACATAATCAAACATCTCCAAACGCTACAATTACAAACAAAGACTGCTGCTAATATTGTTTTTTAATCTCTCTTTGCCATAATCAAACATCTCCAAACGCTACAATTACAAAAAAAGAAAAGGTTCAACAGAATCTATATACTACTGGTGAATTCACCAGATCAAAGCAAGTCGATCAAGAAGTAAACGACCAAATGAGAGAGAGAGAGAGAGAGAGTCAGTCAAAAGATATATTTACGCATTCTATTTTTATCATTTAATAACCACTGACCATGCTTAATTTCACCAGTAACACAAATATTCAATTAATCAAGATAACTTTAAGAATGTTTGTCCAAGTTAAGTTTGCACGTTCAAGCTGCATGAAAAATGTGCTGCAGCATAACATACCTAGTGGCAATATCCCGGATCACCCTTGGCACCAAAACAGGAGTCTTCTTCTTGTTTTTGTACAAAAAACTTCGAATTCCACAGCATCAGCTTCCCTCACAAAATCAAATTCATATCCGATCTTGAATGGCAGAAATGAAAACCAGATTATCATCAGAAATACAATCTCGTGAAGATTCATGTAGCAAAATAATCTATATTTACCCAACTGAGAGGAATTGATTCAATATTATAAAATTTACCAACATAAGGATCCAGGCATGGATTCATTTACATGTTTTTTTTTTCGGTAAATGGATTCATTTACATGTTTTTGTTTCTTTGACCTTATATATCGGACTCATGTCTGAAACTTGAGTCCGATATATAAGGTCAAAGAAACAAATTAAATAATAAATGCAAATAAATGGAGACCCCTAATTGAATTATGTCACTACCACTCAATGAGCAAAATACAATATTTAAGGTCTTGTAGGCTTAGCAATTTAAAAGAACTTTTCCTGCTCTAGGAAGGAAAATGTTTTTTGTTTTCTGCTCTTGGAAGAAGGAAAATTACTTTTAAAATGAAAACCAGAATGCTTTTGTGAAGGCACCGTCCGAGAAATAATAATTTTTCAGCGTAACAAAGACTACCTGAGATTCGTTGAATATTTAATGCATCATGATCGACTCTAAACATCAATTATCACTTAGAAAAACAAAGTGTACGACTACTAAGACATATATATTATTGTGATATGAGAACTGTAGTCTCGTCACATCCACTCCTATTAAACAAGATTCTACCATTGCTGTCTGATTGAGGTACTTTATTTATATTTTTTAGTGTGATCTCATGTTTTTTTGCCGGGTTCTCTTACTTGGAGGTGGACTGCTATAAAAGTATTAAGTTGCAGTAGTTGAAAACTCACATGCCTCGTCCCTTAATATTCATACGAATCATACAAGTTAGAGGCTTCATTTGAGAACGCTCATGGTGTTTTTATTGGAGGTGGAATGCTATTAGTAATTTGGGTTGTCAGTATATAGGAATTAAGAAGCTCTTATGGTATTTGGTATTCAGATTCTGTTTGTTTGATTGCCGTGTTTTGCCTTAATCGGTCGAACAGGATTTGCTAAACTTTTCTTTTTTGAGGCTTTTTTTTTTTTTTTTTTTTTTGTAATCTTGAATTTTTGATAAGTAAACCCTAGTATTATTTCCTAATAAGTAGTACCAGGATGATTCACTAAATTCCTTTTACTTTTCAAGTGAACTTTTGTTCTCTGGATTGAGGAGATGTCATTGTGCAACGCAAAGAAGTTGTAGGAGGCTTGGAGATTGGGCGATTACTTTTCTTCTTGGACTTCTTCCAAGATTTTTAGTAGTTAAACAATTTGTGTTTGGAATTGTTTACTCTGGATTGTTGTTGACAACTTGACATGTTTTCTTTTTTGACTGGTGACTAGCCTACGGGATGTAATATCATATAGTTATAAGTTAGGTCCATCTTTGATTATTTTCGGTTTACTGGTTAAGTGGGTCCTGTTAATGTATTATATACAGAGAAAAATAATAAATAAATAAATAATTAAAATAAATTAAAAAAAAAAAGAAATCAATTGAAACCGGTTCTTGGTTTGGTTTGGTTCCATTGGTATTGGTTCAATCTGGTTTTAAAAATAATAGAACCGTTATAAATAATTTAGTCTTAAAACCCTCCCAATGTAGTCCAAACCGGATTCCATGTACCCCTAGTATTTGCTTTATATGTTGGGCCTTGTGCCTGTTGGTTTTTCCCTTTGTTTGGGTTTGTTCGCTCTCCTCTCTGGGGCCTGGTTTGGGTCCATTGAACCATGTTGTTTTCCCCTTTGGGCTATGTTCCATTATGTATTTTTATTTCTTCTCAATAAATTTCATTTACCACCCAAAAAAAAAAAATTTTAAAAAAAAAAATAAAATAAAATAAAACACCTTGTGACTACAAGAGAACTCCTCATTAGCTTGTTTTATGTCTGCTGGTTTGAAAAGGATGAACTACACTATAGCACATATATGCAAATATATAATACTATATATATATATATTACACATACAGATTACATTAAATTTTTCCTTACATAAAGAGCAAGTGCTAGTTGTTGTTACCAACTGAAATATGCATCAGATAAACCATAAATCAGCCACTTACAGTGGATGAAACAAATGAGAGTAGCTCAGGATCATGTTCGAATATATCCATGTCCTCTTTCAACATATTCACCCATGCCTCTATTCCATAACCATCTCTAGTACTCATCAAGATCACCACATTCTTGAAAGGCCTATAGGGACTGCACACCCAATTAGGCTTACCCCATCCGAAATCAACCTCATACACCGGAAACCTGCACCAACTAGTGAAGTTACAAAACATTATCTCACTCTGATGAAAATTTTGGCACGCATTTTTTAGAAAATCCATATAGCCATTGCCATACACTAGTTTCTTTATGTAGTCGTTGTCGACTTCTCTTATCGCATTCCTTAACTTGTCCACTAACATATGATGCTCCTCCTCGTTCTCAATGGTGGATGGTGAAATTGCAACCCTCCAAACATTACCGAAGTAATGCTTTGACAATGGTGGAACCATCCTCTCCCTCAAGTTCACAGCATGAAGTACTGCACACACTTTCACCACCGGCTCTGTTTTTGACCGGCTTAATGCCATGAAACGTCTCCATATGAGCGCAGAAACAACCTCAACGCGAGTTGGGGCCTTCACTCCCAATGATGATGCTTGTTGTTTAAGCACTTCTATGCTTGTTTTGTCGAACACAAATCTTTTGGTTGCAATGTTGTCTTTGGTGAGCGCTATGTCAGGCCTGAACCCCATTATGTCCCTTGGAGGGAAAAGGGTTGCTGCATCGAAACTCGGATGGATGGTCATACTAGCTGATCCTCGAGACAAAGCAGCCCATGTGTCAACAAATGTGACCGCGGAGCTTCCATCTGCAATCTTGTGTGAAATGCACACACCAACTGCCAATCCACCACAGACAAACTCATTGAATTGAACAGCCAGAAGTACTTCCCTTTCAGAACCAGTTTTTTCATGACAAGGCTCAAATGGTTGCATTGGATTCAATACCTTCACATTTGGCCTAATAACTTCTTCCCCTTCGGAACCAGTTTTTCCATGACAAGGTTCAAATGGTAGTAATTGATTCAATACCTTCTCATTTGGGCTTTCTGTGACTTCAATTAGCTTGCAAGGGACTCGGGTTTCAAGATACTTGACACCCTCATCGTTGCAGTCAATGAAGGAATACTCTCTCAAAGTCCCGGCCAACGGATAGAAGTGAGTTAAGCAATTTGCTAGAGACTTCTTGAGCAAGCAAGACCTTTGCGAAAGATCGATATTTTTATTGCAATCATCAGCATGATAGAAGAGAAGTAAAGGAACATAAGTTGGCGGAGCAAGTTGGTCTAGGAAAGATAAGTTGAGGTTTCGAAGGTGATAAGGTGTTGAAGATGATGGTTTGATTGTTTCTTCAGAAATTATTTCAACCTTCATCGTAATTTGCCTCTCAAGTAACTCTGTACCTACACAAAGTATTGTTTACTAAAGTTTTATGCTTCTCTTCTACAAAAAGTACTAAATATATTAATCACTTCATGACATATATATATAGGAGACCGATTGAGTTGTCATGGCCATCGATTCAGGATCAGTTTGTGTAGTATAATTCAAATTGAACAGTCCAAACCTTGGGATCAATTTTTACGGGAGAGTGGTTGCAGAATTTTGAGCTTACCTTAAGTACAAGACTTGAAAGTCGGTACACAATGTTTTTACTTGTACATAAGTAACTAAGCTCCATAGGAAGATGTGGATTTACAAAAAAGGATATATTCTCTACATGTGGTTGAAATAATCTAGGCGGTTGGATAAGGATGTAGAACTAGCTAGGTTTACGATTTTTTATTTTTTTTTAATAAGAACTATCTACATTTTTTTTTTTTTAGAAAACTGTCTGGGTGTTACCAATTCTTATAAGATATATTTGACTTAATTTTTGCAATTATTACAATTTCAACGAAGGCATTAATCTTAAAGTTTGCAGATCAGAATTATATTTTTATTCGATAGGTGACACCACTAATTGCATTTTGAAGGAATATCCCCTACAATTAGAGGGCAAGTTATGAATTAAAGGGGGGCAAAGAGAGAGTTGAGATAAATAGCTCAACATTTGGTAGCTCTATACCGTTGAGTGTGTTGTAGGACAATTTTATCGACTTTTTTGAGGTGCAGTTCGATCAAATCGCCTTGACGCTCGAAGATTCATTCTTAATATATATATAAAGAAAAAAGAAAAAAAAATTTAAAAATTAAAAAAAAATGGCCCAATAATTAAAATCCACTAGGTTTTGCTAGTGGTTCATGCTGCTTTAGGACCCCGAAATCGTGTTTTTCACTCTTATACAAAGACTGCCAAATATTTTGGAATTTTTTTGGAAGTCTAAATGAACTAGGATCATTTTGATATTTGATGTTTAGTCTTTTTTAGTGATTAGGTTTCTTATTCTCTCTTTATCTGTAAATTGTAGAGAAATTTAGATTTTGAGTAGTTTCCTTATGCTGATAGGTTTTCTTATACTTTTAGGTTTCTTATGTCATTAGATTTCCTTATACGGCTAGTTTCCTTATGATGTTAGGGTTTATTTATTATAAATACATGTATCACAAAGAACAGATTACTAATTCAATTATCAATAATATATCAGATTTCTCTATAATTTTCTTTTAACTTTGTCAATTCAAATTTGTTCCTTATTCATTATTGAACATTCATAGCTTGTGCTTTGTTAGTTGGTATCAGAGCCTGGGCTGACGGTTGACCACATGGTGGTGGCAAACTCACTTGCGATAAAGATCAATAGGGAATGGCTCTTTCAAAAGGCAAATTTCAGAACTTCAAACATAAAACAAAGCCAGCTTTGTAAGATACTCAAGCATCGATCACTTGCTAGGATCGCGATGGGTCCGAATCAGAACCTAATAAATCAAGTTGTGCAATAACAACGTTAATCTCATTCGTCCTGTTTATATTCACAATCCAATGCCACCGAATTGCTAGTTAACCTACGAGGAAAAGGTGATTGAGGTTATTGAAAGATATAAAAGTTAAAGAGATAAATGTTAATTACGTACAATGACACCCCCCGAAGTTTAGCCTATTGACAGTCATATATAAGTTAGCCTCTTTTTGAACAATGACATCGCCTCAGGATTGATAAAGTTAACAAAAGCACACTATCACATCTGACACGTGATTAATTGACATTATTACCCTTTGATTTATGAAATGACTTATTTAAAATATAAAATTACTTTTTTAACCTTCCATTCAATCTCAAACCTAAATAAACATGTATGCATTTCTATATATATATATATATATTTGTCCCAAAAAATAGCCTCAATACAATCTATCTACTCATAAAAACAAATGGGTATTCAAGTAATTTTGTAAATAAATACCCACTAGGTCAGGGAACTTGGGCATGTCTCCTCTTCTCTATCTATCGTGCACTTTCTCTCTAAACAGCATTGCAGGAACCATGTCACCGCCACTGCTAGAGACCAAATCCGACCAACAAACCAACACATCTCCCCAGCAAAACCCGCCACCAGCAAAATCAGTAACACCACCAACATCCCTCCGCACAACCACTAGTAGCAAACACACATTTCCTACAGATGAACAACCACCAACACCACCACAATATATGTCGACGTCATCACCACTGTCCCCACTACACAACCACCATCGCCATCCCCACCAATAAGCACCGTCGCCACCCTATAGCAAACAACCATCACCGCCATCCCCACACACAACCATCGTTTTCATCCCCATAGTCGGCAACCACCGTTACCATCCCTATAGCCGGCAACCCCCACGTGGGGGCACGTGAGGCCCTTTCCAATGACGCGTGAGGTACCTTCTGACAGCACGTGAGGCCTCTTCCGACAATGGGTTGGGGCCAAAAAGGGGCAATTTGACTGCATAATGACATCCCCTTCCCTTCGACGATGACAATCTGAAACCTCCAGCGCCAAAAATCAACGCAATCCAAGACATTGATTGATCTCGATCTCCTCATCATACGCACCTTATTGTTCATTTTCAACACCAACCAGAACAACAATTTGCTCCGATTACTCTTAAGCGACGGTTTCATACGGTGGTGACTAGTGTTGAAGCTGGTGAACACGTGTAAAAATCACATGCTTTTAAAATTGCTAAAGGACAATTTCATCAATTAAAATAGTTAATATTTTAAATGAAAAATGAATATTTTTATTGAAGGGCAAATAAGACATTTTACTCTATTTTAGGCTGTGTTTGGATCCATATCTGACAAAGGGGTGTCATTGTTCAAAACAAGGCTTACTTATATATGGCTGTCAATACCCCAAACCTTAAGGAGTGTCATTGTAATTAACCCTAAATTAAACATGAAGAACACACTGATATAACATCATCCACAACATATAAAGCCTAAAGGGCTACATCTATTTCATTACATTCTCTCTTAATTTTTCTATACATGATCACCTCTATTTATAGGTGAAAGAATAGAGATATGTAATAAATATGATATAAGAAACATTCCTAAAATCACTCCTATGATTGACTCATATCAATATGTCAAAAGAGAGATTTAAAGGTTTTAATCATTCCTATAATAATATTCTCCAACAGGTGTGGTGTAGGAAGTTTGAGGATTGTGATTCTATGAATTTTCGTATCAGGATTGACTTTCCTAGTTCTAATTGCCATTTTTATATTGAAGATTTCTTGGACTAGTTGGCAGATGTTGAAAGGTTCTTTAATTTTATGGGGATTTAAAAAGACAAAAAGGTAAAACTGTTGGAATACAAAGTACATTCGCTTCCGCAGCAAACCGCAGCAAAGTAATCGGCCCTCTCCTACCGCCCGGAAGAGGCCGAGGCTACTGCCTCAGGAATATTTGCTTGGGCCTAACAATTGCCTTCCCGACCAAATCGAAAAGGAGGCTAGCAAGTGTACCACGAGGTGCACTGCCCCTTAAACCAGTGGTCCTAGCATGCCCTTACACATCACCTAATACATCGTCGCCCTGGCATGACGCTGAAAGCCCCAAACATAGCTGCATCAACATTAATTTTCAACCAACCCTCAGGTTTAAACCAACAACCTCTTAGCATACACAGCCTTATGCTGCCTACAACCTGCTTCCTAACAACAGGAAGCTTGTTGACCTCCGAAAGTTTTTAAAATCGACTAGTCGCCTAGCTACAACATCTTGCACAAACCAGAGTTCCCTTTTGCAACATTGAACGTTTCCATCTTGCCATAGGTACCAACATAAAGTGGTTATAAAACTCTCCTATTAACTATAATCTGCTTCAAATTCCTAACATTTACTTAGCAAAAACCACCACTCTACTGAATAGAAGGTCTGAAAAGCTGCACAATTAATTCTCAGAAGGCAAAATTGCTAAACAATAGTTGCATGATCATAACCTATAACATAGGATACAGATTTTCAATGTTTACCCCCACATGATTGACAAATAGCATCCTTCATCACCCCTTTCTTTCAAATAATATATTTCATAGAAAGCTTATCACAGTTGGTCCTCAGGTCAATCCCCTAAGTTATATTTGTCTGTTTAATGTCAAAAAGCTGAGTATCAGAGGCTTCAAGGGCTCATATAACCTGCATTGTGGCTGAGAATAAAGTACAGGGGTAGTATTGTCATTTACTCCTACGTGACACATTTTACACAATGGTATAAGATAGTATATTACAGTTTCTATGCTTGCTTAAGTTAATTTGTTGTGTTTATTGAGGTTCATCACATGAAAATTAGCTACAGGTGTACACAGGGGTATTATGGTCTTTTTTCAGCTGTATTATATGTTTGTACATATGTTCAGATAGTTGCATTGTGTTGAACAGCTATGGTTGAACCTGCATTGTAATATATACAGTCTTAGGACTTGTATTTTGCTGAGAAGTGTAAATGTTGTTACAAGGGCATTTTGGTCTTTCCATGTTGAGCTCAGGTGTATGACACGTTTCAGTAGTCCTAGAGAGATATTACATGCAATAAAATTGCATTGCTTAGAGGCTAAGTTTGGATGGGATTGCAAATTTCAGCCTTATCTTATGAGGTGTATTTTTCGGTATGAATAAGAACAAAATAGATGAGGTGGAAAGCTTTCATTGGTTCATTCTCATGAAGAATGTCAGAATAGTCCTTTAACAATCATTGGTTGAAGGTGACAGGTGTATATCCTTGGTGTATGAGGGCTAGTGTGTTCAGAGACACTATATATATGTTGTTACTTTAAGGTTTTAAACCTTGATAAAATACTGAATAGAGGTCTGCAGCTGAATACCCTCGAAAGCTTCATATGAACCAAGCCAGAAAAACCCACTGATTCAAGCTTTGTGTGTGTACTAACTGTGAAGATGTTGCTACTGTCAATTTTACTGGTGCAAGGGCTGGATTGAGTAGTGAAAGTGTGTTCCAAGCTGCTGTG